TCAATGCTTCGGAATCTTCGCCTACCTCTTCACCGAAGCGCTCCAAGTCTGCTATCACCCTCCTTAAATCCTGAGTGGTTACTGCTCTTACTTTCATCCATTCTAAGGCATTAGCATGCGCTTCCACCAATGTGTCCCTTGGTAACGGAGGGATTTTCTGAACCAAAGCTATTACTTGAATTGGTGGAATTTTGGAAACCTGAAGGACTTCCGGTGCGTTTGATACTACCGTGTTAAAAATGCCATATGTCACCATCTCAACTCTTCTTCATTGCTTGCGGACGGAAGAGAAAATATACAGAAAAGAAACAAACGGAAGAAGTGTGAAATAATAAAAATAGGTCACTAATTACAGACTATTGAAAGTGTATCGGGTTTCGGCACCACTTATGCGACGGTGGAATAAAATAATAAAAAAAAAAAAAAGTAAAGGGATTGAGATATAACACACATGGCTTCAGAAACAATACTGCTTTATTTGTAAAGTAATCCTCCTTATATACATTTAAGATTTTGTTTACATTCTAGGTTGGTATTAAGGCTGATACTGCCCGACTCCTGTCCTTATCTTATATATATATATATATATATATATATTTGGTGACCTATGGCCTAAAATAGACATATGATAAATTATGAGAAAATGGCACCAAACCCGAAGGATGTGACTAGAAAATTAATCATTTTCGTTTTAATCTAATAATATATATATATATATATATATATATATATATATATATATATATATATATATATTATTATTAGATTAAAACGAAAATGATTAATTTTCTAGTCACATCCTTCGGGTTTGGTGCCATTTTCTCATAATTTATCATATGTCTATTTTAGGCCATAGGTCACCAAAAAAAAAACACAGTTTTTTTATTTCCTGTATGCTTTATTCAACGATTCGGCTTCAGGAGCCATTTTCAAGAACCTGCAATACATGCACCGCGCCATAAAATTTTTAAAATTTATCATTGCGATATGATTCGTCCTAATTCATTCTTTTATTTCAAAGAATGTCGTTTTCCGTTTCTCTATTTGCATACAGGACTTCCTGTATGAATGCCCTATTGAAGAACAATAATTTCTTGATACCGTCTGCAAATAGAGAAACGCAAAGTATCGACAATTAAAGAATAATGCATGAGTTGTATTATTGGCCATCTTTGATAACTGCCAACTAACCACAAGCTGTTATTTTGCAACCTTTGCAATTTTCTATACTTTGTTTGCATGTATTGGACCATACAGGACAAAATGGCATGCAATGGATCTGATGTACAAAAGTCCAGTCAACAAAGGAGTTGCTGAGTTCATGGAGGTTGGACAAGTATTTGACTTCAGGATTTGGTTGGGGTACTTAGAAGGTAAACATACTAAACGTCACCGCCCTTACCCCTTTCGTTGGTGGTGAGGGCGCTTTAAAGCTCACTTTTTCTATATTTTCTCATATATCTTAGAAACGATACGTCACAAACAAAACATTATTGCATAAAAAATTAAATCCGATAAAATTGTCTCCAATAAAGTTTATATTAATTTTATTCGTATCTGTTATAGTTTTCGAGATATTCACTATCGTAAGTTTACAATTTTCGAAACATTTATTTTCGGTTTACGTTTTTTTGTCAAATTTACCTGTTTAATACCACAGCAACGATCGAAAGCTACAAGTACATTGCCTAAAAGAAAATTGTAGAATATAGTCACAAGTTACGGCAGTTTTAAATATTATGATAAATTTCGTCAATGCATATGAAAAACTGTAATTGTTATTGTTTATTTTTGGACATGAATAACCACCATTTACACAAGGATGTATAGTTAATGTTAATCAAATATATATAATTTATAAATAAATATATAATATATATAAGGGCAAGAGGAATGAAACTACAGGAAAGATGTTTGGCGAATTCTTCGCCTTTATCTTCGTCAGATGCTACCCAAGAGCCATCACCTTGACGTAATAAAACATAGGAAATGTGGTGTTATTTTAGGATTTTTTTAGTGATATTCCAAAGGGAATTGTCATGAACTGTGAGAAAGAAGAGGTAGTTGGCGGATTGTGTTCTGAAGTTTGCTAATTCCTGTTTTAATTGTTAACAATAATAAATATATGTGCTGCGGCCGGTGGGATGTTTACTACGTTGCCATAATAATAAGGCACGGCGTTTTATGTGGTTTAGGTCAATGTTGATATTAAAAAAAAAAAAAAAATAGAAAGGATTCTTAGAAATGACAATTTTCATGTGGATTTCAATATATAAAAAACCGGAGAATAGGGTAATTGAACGACAAAAACAAAAAAAAATCATTTATACTATTAATTTTAATCAAAATTCATTAACTAAGAAATATATTAAAATACAAATTTCGTAAACCTGTCTCTTTTGTAACGGGAGAGTTCAGCTTTGGGCTCCCATTTCTAGAATGATGAAAGTAACAACACGTCTTCATCCTAAATACAGGATTAAATTTTTGCGGTAGATACGGGGAGGGGATCTAAATCTTCTTATTCATCATCCTCATTCATTTTAGGAACTCCGTTCATACAGTTCCCATTCTGGAAATTCTGTCATGACCTGGAGAAACTCATGATGACCAGTTTACGTACTGTTTTCGAAAGAGCAAGTCATGCACGACATTATGGTTCAACCAGAGGCAGAGAGACCGCTGATGCCCTGCTAAGAGTGCGCAGAGATGTGGAGGGGAGCGGCATGTCATGCTGCTACTTTTCGAAATATCTTCCGCCTTCGACAGCCTATGGTGGCCTTGCGTGCTTTAGCAGCTGCAGAAGTACGATGTTCCCAGCAACTTGCTCTAATAAAAAACCACCTCCAGGACAGAAATGTGAAGATTAGAGGAAATTATTATGAGGTTGAAGCTTCCATAGAGAGAGGTTGTCCTCAGGGATTTGTCCTTGGTCCTGCGCTATGGAAAATAGTATTTCATGAGTTTCTGAGAGTCTTAGAGGAAGAATGGTTCCCTGCCACTGCCTACGTTGACGACCTAACTGCTGTGTTGGCCTCCAATAGCAGAGCTGGTGTCAAGAGAGAAGCTGAACGATGCGCCGGTTTAGTCGTAAGATGGTTGTGAGAGGAAGAAGATGAGGATGGCTGATGCCTAGACTTAAGCCATCCTCCTTAAGGGAAAGACTGACAGAGCACTCCCTATAAGAATGTACATTAAAGGTCTGAGGTGGTAACCTACCTAGGAGTTAAGTTAGGCGTTGGCCTGAATGTGACGACTCACTTGGAATATCTGGCAGGTAGAGCGACCCTTGCAATGAATGGTCTGTGTCGCGTGGGAGGTGCATTTTGGGGCCTCAGGTATCCTGAGGTATGCGCCTCCCTTCTGGTTTCGGAACCTCACACATAGACAGAGAAATAGGCTTGCATCGACTCAGAGGACAGCTCTGCTTCGGGTCACCAGAGCTTATAGATCTATATCGCATTAAGCAGTGCAGGTCCTACTAGGGGTAGTGCCTCTCGACCTTCTCCTGCAAGAAGAAGTTACCAGGAATGATTACAAGAGAGAGGGCTCAACCCCACTTGCGGTGTTCCGGAGGCTGTTGAGCATGTGGTCACGGCCTGCACTGCATTCGATGGATTAATGAGAACCACGGTAATTTATGTCCGTAGGGGAATTTCCTCCGTTGGTGATTGAGGAAAACTTCCCGTGGTTCAAAGAGTTCATAAATGGCTTGAAGACGGCGGTGGGTCCATCTCACTTCAACCTAGGGTCCCACAGAAGAAGAAGAGTACCAGTGCCAGGAAGACCACGCATTCTAGAAGCCACGCATAATTAAGTAAATTGAATAATGCAAAGTAAAAAGAGCTAACTTTGTATACTCTTATCAATGCAGTAGTGTGATATTATGCGAAGGCTTAATATGACTCTACTGCATAGTGCAAAATATAAAAATAAGCAGAAACAGTTAATCCTATCTATATCTGGCACTACTAATTTCTATAGTGCATTTGGAGAATGTAAAATCCAATATTTCTTTTGCTGCTATAGGGTCTTTGTTTAGGACGAGAATTGAATAATTCTGTTTACTCTTCCAAACGAACAATTCTGGAGGTAGTTGGTTTCCCAACCAGAGCTAAACCTGACGGAATATACGAAACGAATATTTCTTTGTTGCTCTCTCGCTTTAAGCGATTAGAGATCTGGTCTGAGATTTATGTATACTCACACAGGGAACAGCACGAAAGGAGTTCCTAATATATTCAATGCGGGTGAAGAAGAATACTTGGACCCTCTCCCTATGAATACTGAATACTGTTTTTCGGATGAAGATGAGTCGTTGCTCTCATCATTCTAGGAATGAGAGACCAAAGCTGAACCCACCGTCCCATCTCAAAAAGTGGTTTCATGAGATGAAATAAGACGAAACATCCTAAAGCATGATCAAACAACAGCAAACATGTTGTTATTGTAATTATATATCTATATAATCTTTATATATTTGATTATCATTTACTATATATCATTCATGTGTAAATGCCGGACATTCGTGCTTGAAAATGAAAAAAAAAAATACAGTCTTTCATATGTATTGACGAAATTTAAAACTTCCGTAACTTTAGATTCATAAAAAATAGAAAGGGGTAGGGGCGGAGACTGTGAGTATGTTTATCTCCTAAGTATCCCTAACCAATTCCCGAAGTAAAATTCTCGTCCATCCTACAAACATCTTTCTGCCATTCATTGACTCCACTAAGTTAATATAATAACTTTTTAACAACTATATTGAGCCTAGAATAATAATGAGACAACAGAGGGAATAATCTGTGTATGACTCCTATAGATTTATGTTTTTAATATTAATGTGGTTGCTAAAGGTCAATCTAGTATCTAGATAACCCCTTAGGTTAGGTGCCATATTTACTTATACCAAACTTAATAATTTATAAAACTTATAAATAATGTAAGATGGTTAATTGTGAAGAAACTGTGTTAACTGAATTTATTATTTATTTAAATAGGTGCTGGAGAAGTTAAAAAGTGAAAAACTCAAGCTGGAAGCAGAGGTAACGATTGAAGAAGAGACTGAACCAACATCAAAAAACTTGATTAGCTAGGCTCATCCTTCTTTGTTGATTCAAAGACTTTATTAAAAGCTACCGTCCAAGTCAGCTGCACCCTTCTAGCCATGACCATTTTATATAATTTCATTCCTACTGGTCTCGTACTTAATTGTTTGTAATAAATTATAGCTATGGATGCTGTATGTTGGAAAATAACGATCTATGAAATGTTAATAAAAGATTAAAAAAAAATTGTATTCTTATTGTTCCAATCCATAGTTTAAGTTAAAAAAACTATAATAATAATTACACTTGCCTCTCCTTTTTGGCTCCTGTGTTCTGATCATGATATCGATAGGAACTGCAGAATTCTTCAGTTTTTTTAGATTAAAGCGGACTCTTGACCAAGATTCCTATATTGTCTCAACATAAGAACGCATGTTCCCCATTTCCATACTCTAGGACGCAAATTAGTTTAGAGGAATGAAGAAGGCTTGATCCTGAAAGAACCATAACCAGGGTCCATCACGATAAGTAATTATGATTTCGGCCCATTGATTTCTTTTCCGTAATCTTATTGCTACTACAAGAAAATAAAGCATCCCAGCATTTTATACTTGTATATTGTATGATATGTTTTCATTGTAAATGACATGTTTTTTTTAGTAAATAGGTCAAATTGCGCTCATTCACTGGAGAGTCAATCGGTAACATGTCGGGAATAATTTAACACAGATTGTATCATAGAACACAGTGCGGAACGATCGAGTGAAACGCAGGACACGATGTACACGGATATCATCAAGCGCATATGGTTGCAGATCGGTGCTGTATGCAGAAGTGCAGAATTTACATTGTGAGCGAATATTCTCCATGTTGGTCTGGTATCAACCAAGTATAGGTAGAGCTTGGTACGATCTCGTACTGCAACTGTAAACACGGATGTTCATCACTCGTATCACTAGATATCAAGATACCTAATGGATGGATCACTTGGAGTAGATGTCAAACTGATGGTTACTTTACTGTTTTGCTTGTGAAAAATACATCTTCGCTTTTTTGTTCAGCAAGACGGGGAGGCCCATTGTCGTGGCTTAAGTCCATTTTGTATAGTACACGATTCTAACATGCACTTATATATTAAAAAAATATATATATATATATGAAAGATTCAAGTCCGCGGTACAGACCCTTTTTTATCAAATTACTAATATTTGTCTAAAACAGTGAATAACTTAATCATATCGTAACCTCCAAGTTTCTTATATACGAAAATTCTTAGAAATGGAGTGTTTTTCTCATGGAGTGTAGTTAATACAGACTTAAAATTTATTGGACGAAGAAGTTTTACTAAAAATAGTGTATCTGTAGAATAGTTTAATGATGATTGAAAAAATCGCAAATAATTTATGATTTTTTTAAAAACAGAATTTAGCTTAGTTTGTCCACTCCAAAGTCCTCTAAAACAGTGAATAACTTAATCATACCGTAACCTCCAAGTTTCTTATATACGAAAATTCTTAGAAATGGAGTGTTTTTCTCCCAGATTTCTGTCATAGGAATTGATGCATATTTATAAGTGACAAACTTAATGTTTCTAATATTTACGTTTTCATGAAAATAATTAAAGGACACAGTAGGTTTCTTTATTTTAGTTAATTATAAAATTTTAGTAACAAAGATTAATTTTGTCAATTTTAAATACGCATAAATTTCTATAACAGAATTCTGGGAGGATAAAACAATTTCATATCCACTTTACGTAAAAAATATTTGATAAATCATCATTTTTAAACTTTTTTATTTTTATAAATGTGTTTTTATGCTATTAACTTTATTATAACAAATCTCATAACGCGGAAAACAATAAAAGTTTTGCAACAGTTAATTGTCGTCATTTTTGTTGAAGCATGGGTACTTTTAGGTGATTCCATAGAAAATAACATCGTTTTTTTACACAAATCGAGGTAAATCTCAATTTTTTCGGCTATAAGCCTCAATATAATTAATACAGACTTAAAATTTATTGGACGAAGAAGTTTTACTAAAAATAGTGTGTCTGTAGCATAGTTTAATGATGATTGAAAAAATCGCAAATAATTTATGATTTTTTTTAAAAACAGAATTTAGCTTAGTTTAGCAACTCCAAAGTCCTCTTTAAATCGTTTTAACAATGACAAACTGCATTTTCGTTTAAAGTAAATTTTGTCTAGTTTATAGCAAAGCAATTATTAATTATTTAAATCAAATATTTCTTTAGTTATCGCTTCCTATTCAACAAAAAACGTGACACTTAAAAAAACATAAACTTTAATTTCCTACTTTCCTCCTGAAAATTAGCCCATTGTTTAAAAGACCGTTTTTGTAGCTCTTGCGGTCTGCTATCGCTGCTACAGAAATATAATTGTGTACAAAAATGACCGTTTTATAAAATTCAAGGTTTCAAAGGACTGTAAATATTTTAATCTTATCTAATACTTACCAATATTCAATAATCCATTTAGAGCATTCTCTAAACTTTTCCAATCCTATTTGTCTTCTTCAAAAAAGAGCCTCAGTTTAGTTATTTGTTTCAAAGTTTCACAGCCTCTGAAGGAACTCGTGAAATTATTAAATATGAAGAGGAAGGTGTCCTTTGCCAGCGCACTGCGCGGCGTTGGTTTAAAAAAAAATAGCAGTGAAGATACCACGTTGGAAAAGAAGAAGGGCTCTGACTATAACATAGTCATTAATAAATATTGGAGTTTCTGCAGCAAACTGTTAAGCCAAATCCGTCGACAAGTACTCGGGAACTTTCCAGGGAGTGTGGTGCGTCGAACGCTCCTGTTAATCATCATATAGTCTCCCGGGAAAGGTGAAAAAGAGCAGTATACTGGTTCCTCACGAACTTACTCCTCAGTAATCACCTATGACTATAGAATACTAATATTTCTATGACAGAAATATGGCAGAAAAACACGATTGCAATACCACCTTACTTAAACAATATTTAAAAAATCATTAATTTTTAAAATGTTTTATTGTTATAAATAAGATGTTATTATGTTTATTACAATACATCCCATAACTCGGAAAAAACAATAAACAAAAGCTTGCATTAGTTAGTTATAACCATTTTGCTGAAAACACGGGTACTTTTAGGTGATAGAAAATCACATTTCTTTACACAACTTGTGGTGAAAATCAAAATTTGTCCTAATTAATCTCAACTTAATATTGAATTGAAGCTAATTAAACGCCAAAGTTTTCCTAAAAGTGGGGTACTGTAGTCCAGTTGAAAGGTGATAAAAAAAAAAAATCACAAATAATTAATAACTTTTTTTAAAATGAAACTTAGCTGAGTTTGTTCGCTCAATTGTCCTCTTTAAATGGTTTTAAAAATGACTAACTCTACTTTCATTTAAAGTAAATGTTATCAAGTTTACCATAGAGTAATGTTTAATTACTTAAATCAAATGTTTTTTTAGTAATCGTTTCTTAATCAACAAAAAATGTGACTCACATAAAAAATCTTAAATTTCCATTTTTTTGGTTGGAATTGGGCAATTATTTATTTAAACTATTTTGTACATCTTGATTTCTACTATTAACCTTTTAAATATTTCTCTCTACTTACGGGACACCCTGTATATACGTGAAACAATGAGCTTCTTTAAACTTTTTTTTTTCTGTTATAAATATGGAAAAGATTTTTTATCACTTTTCACAGAGCATTATGAGTAGGTATAGCTTTTTTTTGTTTCCTAGTCCTAACATTCTATCTCTTTGAGATGCATTTTATTTGTTACAAATATTGGACACTTTCCTCTGTATACTTTTATAAATTTCTATATGTTTTCCTCTTCGAAATCTACGTCTCAGTATGTAGATTGCAATACTTTTCTAATTTTTTTACATTACCATTATATGTATTCATTTACAAATCTTAAGGAACAGTTGTAAATTAATTATTTGCTCCAGACTAAAACGAAAAGAAACCGCTCGACGTTTCCGATTACTTCAGCACTTACTAGACAAACGCTCCATACTTCCAATTAATTACAAAAGACTCGTATACATGACTATAATAAGGCATATTTGGACTTACACAGTTGAGCTATGGGGCTCCACTAAACCATCGAATTCCTCTCGTACCCAATCCTTACAATCCAAAATCCTCAATACTCCCTACTTCGTTACAAATAAAATCATCCATAATGACCTTAATGTTCCTCCCTTGGCCCAATCCAGATAGGTATCCTATCCGTCCAAAATAAACTTCAGAATCATCCCAACCCTCTCGTTTCTAATATTGCTTCCTCTTCAATTCCTGATAACCCTCCGAGGCGTCTGAAAAGAAGATGGACCCGTGATCTCCTAATGTTGACATATTATTAGAGTGCTAGCATTGGCTAGTTTCTCAACACGTATTTTCACGTCAATATATCCATTTGTACAAATTTACTAGATGTATTTTTATGATACAGTTGTAAATATGATTAAGAAATTAAAAAAAAAATGAATTATCTATGAATTGATTTATCTAAAATTTGGCTCTATAAAAAAAGTGTACAAATCTACGTAAATGTAACATAGCCTCACATCCAGTTATCTATTTTTCTATCAATTATCTATTTTCCTTCTTCTGAAGAAGTTTAATTAAATTTTATTATTCTGGTCTGCTAGGAAACGAATGAATAAATTAGCAAACGTAATACTGGTGTAAAATGATGGGGAGGGGGGGGGTTGAGAAGGGGTCATTTTATTAGAATTGATTTGAAGGATGCTGAGTGAGGGGTCTAAAATTGGAATGATATCATCGGGAGTGACACTGCTGCTAATTGCCTTAAGAATCTCCAACAGTGGGTCAAACAAGTGGCTTAAATGACAAATGCTATCGTTATCAAGAAATGGTCTCCTCCCGGGCGCCTATTTAATCCTCTAGCCAATTGCTGCTACGTCCAATAGATTTAGCCTCATTTCTCACCAATATGTCATCAATCTATATATTGCACAACAAATAATTATGACTTATTTGGCGTTATTATAAATGGGACAGCGAATTTATTTTTAGTTCGTACACATACGGGTATTTAATTTTTCAAGAATTTAAAGGACGTTAAAGGTTTATTTTTAAATGATATTTTTTTATGGATGGGAATAAAAAAATATTTTTAATCTAAATATTGTTTATTTTTAAACTTCTCTGTGGAAATAAAAAAAAAAACTATGATAATATAAATCAGGTTTCCAAAACGCACTTATT